CTTTAATCCCAGCACTCATGAGGTAGAAGCAGACAGATCTCTAAACTCTAGGCCAGCCTGCTCAAAACTAGTTCCAGGACAGGCTCCAAAGCTACAGAGAAACCCTGGCTCAAAAAAACAAACTAAACTAGATAAAATACAATAATGAAATAAAAAAAAAAAACTGTGGTAGGCTATTTGTATAATTAAAGCAATTTTCTTGCTTTAAGGGGTGATAACCTTATATATAAGTAATAAAAGTACAAAGACACACTCTTGGTGCTACAGGGACACAAACATCAAAAAAGGCAAAACATAAAGTAGATTCTCTCTTGGAGGTATAAACACCCCCTAAATGATGAGTAGAAACTATCCTGTTAAGGGCATTTCCACAGAAGGAGCAGTCTGAGCAAAAGGCACAGAGCTAAGAAACAGCATGCTATATTTCAGGAAGCAATGAACAGCTGCTAAATGTTGCTTGAGGCTTAGTAACACCAAGATGGACCACTATGGGGGGAGCTGTCAAGACAGGGAAAGAAGATAGTAATCATCCAGAAGACATGGGTCAGGAAAGAAATGATCAAACAGGAAACAATATAGAGGTGGAATTAAAGACAAAAGGCTGGAAAAAAAAGTCTAGCTAGCAGGCAATGTTAGTTGCCCCTACTGAAAATATAAGAGACAAAACAATAAAACAACAGCTATACCCAGATGGGAGTAAATTCCAGTACTCCAAGAGGCAGAGGCAGGAAAAACTCTATGAGTTTCCAGAACAGCCTGGTCTACATAGCAAGTTCCAGAACAGCCATGACGATATAGAGACCTTGTCTTAAATGAGGGGGAAGAAAAGCCATTGCTAACCTGAAGAAAAACTATATATACAAAATACTGTGGCCTTTACTCCCAGCACTTTGGAGGTAGAGGCAGGTGGATCTCTGCATTAGAAGACAGCAGGGTCTACTGGACAGTCAGAGATAAGATACACAGAGAAAGCCTATCTTGAAAAACCACCAGTCACACTAACCATTAACCTACCCTAGTGTAAGCAGATTTTCTTTTTATAAAAAGTCAAATAGTAAACATTTCAGCTTTATGCTCCACGTACAATCTTACTTTTGTTTGTTTTAAGACAGGATCTCTCTGTGCAGTCCTGGCTTTCCAAGAACTCAATATGTAGACCAGGTTGGCCTAGAACTCAGGGATCCATCCAACCACCTCAGGCACAACTAGCTCCTTTTTTTTTTTTTTTTTTTTTGGTTTTTCGAGACAGGGTTTCTGTAGCTTTTGGAACCTATCCTGAAACTCTCTCTGTAGACCACGCTGGCCTCGAACTCACAGAGATTCTGTCTCCCACTTGCTGGGATTAAAAGTGTGCACTACCACTGCCTAGCCTTCTTTTTGCTTTTTTAAGCAACCACTTAGAAAATAAAGCATCCAATTCCAGTGGGGATTCAATCACTCCAGCTTCAGAGGGCACCTGCACTCACATGCACATAGCCTTACACAGACACAAAGATAATTAAATATAATTAAAATACATCTTTTTAAAAAAAACTTAGCTAATGAACTTTCTTTTAAGGTTTACAGGGTGCACTTGGGATGTGAGCCATTGTTAGTTTGCTGATCCTTGTTGGTAAGGAAATGAGGATTAACCTTCCTATGAGATTAACTTTCCTAAAATGACACTTGCACTGTATTAATACCCTACTCTAAAATCTCCATAGGTGCTCCCTGCATAATACATACAATTCCGATAGTGCCTAACATTCACAGGCATTTCCAGCTCCAATCTACTATCCCAGGCATTCAAACCAAACCTTAAGAACTGCCCATTCTTACTAAATTGGACTACTTACACTTACCTGCTTCTGTAGATGTGTGTTGTTTCCCAACCCAGTGTTCTTTTCTTCTGTTTCCTAACTTGACTAAATATCCTTCTTTCAGAGCACAATTAAAATCCTACCCCTGCATGACTCCACCCTCCTCAAAACTTCCAAATGCACTATCTCAATTTAACAGATATTTAATCGCGGCTCTGTAGCTATAATTTACTTCAAATAAATTCTAGTAATGAACTATAGAAATTATCCCTGAAAGTATAGTCTTTTAAATAAATTCTAAATTCATTGAGGGCAGGCAGCAGTTTACACCACCCTCAGTCAACGGATCGAACAACATACAACAAAAAGTAAATAAGATAAAGACATGGGTATGAATATAAGTAATAATGTACAACTTTTTTTCTGAAATAGCTAGTTAACTGAATCAATAGACGAATATTCTTCCATTACATGTGTACAACCTGAATACTAGACAAGACACAAAATGACAATCAATACATATTTCCTCAGTTCTTTTTGTTTCTTTTGGTCTTTTTTTTTGGTGTGTGTGTGTGTGTGTGACAAGGTTTCTCTCAGTAGCCTTGGCTATCCTGGAACTCACAGAGGTCCATCTGCGTCCCAAGTGCTGGAACTAAAGGCAAACACCACCACCACCCAGTAAATGCCTCAGTTCTTTATGGACTAGCTGACTAGAGAAACAATAGCAGAATGCGAGAAAAACTCCCCAATAGTAGGTCATTAGTTCAACATAGGTACACTATCTTCACACTACAGGTACAAGTTATCAGACCAATTTGTTTTTAGGATACAAATTGGGCTTCTAAAACTAAACTGCTTTAAGTTTTTTACCTTAATTTCCTCAATATTAGACAAATTAAAAAAAGTTTCACACACTCCAAGAAGTCATACATTTGAACTCCAGTAAGGTATTATGAAGTCCACCCAGATTTTACGGAAGAATATAATTACCTATATCAACACTTTTAAGGAAGTATCTATAGTCAGGATTTTTTTTTGAACCAGATTAAAGGTTACAGCTGGTGTTTGAACCTTAAGGAATTCTAAAATCGCGTCAACTGCATCCAATTTTACTGCCAATATAAATGTTTAGCATCTAAAACAATTCTCTCTGGAATATTTGCCCACATTCTAATGTAAATTACAACAAAGGTTTACAACATTTGTAACAAATGAAAAGTGGGTGGCACAGGCCTTTGATCCAGAATTGGGAGGCAGAGGCAGGCAGATCTCTGTGAGTTCCAGCCCAACCTGGTCAACAGAGCTCAGCAAGGGCTACACAGAGAAACCCTGTCTCAAAAAAACAAAAATACAGCTGCTGGGCAGTGGTGGCCCAGGCCTTTAATCTTAACCAGCACTTGCGGAGGCAGAGACAAATAGACCTCTGTTAGTTCAAGGCCAGCCTGGTCTACAAGACCTAGTTCCAGGGCAGCTAGGAATGAGACACAGAGAAACCCTGTCCCGAAAAAACAAACAAAAGTATACAAAAACACACTGAATAAATGTCAAAAGATTGTCATGATATAAAAAAATGTGACTAATTCTCCAAAAATGGGGGTGGGGGTGGGGTAGACAATGACACTTACTTATAAGCCTGCTGTTTAATAATGAATAATATTAATTTGGTTTTGGGTGGGTTTTTTTGTTTTTTGGGTTTGTTTTTGTTTTTTTATTTTGTTTTGTTTTGTTTTTGTTTGTCTGTTTGGTTTTTGTTTTTCAAGACAGGGTTTCTCTGTAACCTTGGCTGTTGCGGAACTCGGAACTCCGGAACTCGCTTTGTAGACCTTGAATGCACAAGAGATTCACCTGCCTCTGCCTCCCCAGTGCCCGGATTAAGGGCGTGGTCCAGCCAAGAGTGCCTGGATTTAAAAGGGACAGACTCGGGAAGGAGCCAGAAATCCTGCTTGATTCCTATTTCACCACTGGCCTAGTCTTGGGTGCAGCACTAAATGTCTTTGTTTCCCCATACACTGACACAAGAACAGCTTAACTGACATTTTCAGGTTGTGAGAACTGATTCCAAGTGTCTGAAGTACTTCAGGAGCACGAAGGGAACCACGCTGTAGGCATAAAAGGTCATACTTACTTAATGCGAAAACTGCAGCTACCTGTTAGCAGCAGTTCCAAACTCAACCGTAATTCTTTTGTGTCTTAGAAGGGGGCATGTACTTCAGGAGCTGGTCGAACTGTCTCAGAGAAGACAAATAACTACTTTCCAAAACACAGAAAAAGAAAAAGAAAAAAAGAAAAAAAAAACCTCGTGTCGCTATCCAACCCTAGTACTTGCAAAGGAAAACAAAGTTCAGAGCCGGTTGTTGATAAACCTAGCTAGACTAGAGACCGGCAGGAATCATGGAGAACTTTTCTTTGTTACCATACCAGAAATGTGACCCCTAAAAATAATCTCAAAAAGCAATCCTTGTCACTAGAGTTGTACTAATGGGAAACGGCCCTAGCCTTTCTTACCTAAAGAACTACACATGGTGGTTGTTAGAGGCTGCAGCCAAGACTTAGGGAGAATTCTCTCAAAACCTAAGCTAACTAGACAGGTAGTCCAGCACTCGGTGCTGAGCGCTGGGTACTGAAGAGGGTTGCTCGGGAAAAGTGCTGATCCATCTCCAGCTGCCCCTGGATGACAGTAACAATGCAAACACTGACAAAAGAGCTAGGAGGCCACCCAGAGCCCCTTGCCGGGCAGCACCTCTGCCCGAGCCTCCACATACAAAGCGACAAATCCCCGAGAGGCCCTCGGCTGACAGATCTTCCAAGCGAGACCTAGCGTGGCAACATGCTGTGGGGGAGAAAAGTACGGCTTGTCACTCCTTCCAGGGGCGCGGGGTGCCCCGAAGGTGAGGGCAAACCCTTCGGTCCTCTCGGCCAGTCCCCAACGCGGGGACCGCGCCGGCTCGTCCTTCCCCGCGGCAGCGGCCGTCCGCGAGGCTGGGAGCCCAGCAGCCCGCGCTCGTCCCGGTCCGGCCCGGCCGGCAACTACTCGCCCAACTCCGCGGGCGCCAGGCGGCCCGCCCGAGTGCCGGGTGGGGGAGGCGACACGGCCCGGCCCGCTCCCTCGGCACGCGGTCCGCGCCCGCCGCCCTCCGCCCGTGTCCCCGCCCGCCGGGCCCCGGCTGCCCAGCTCGACCGCCGGGCGGCCTGGCTCCCTACCTGAGGCGGTGTACCAGCTCCCGGCGTGGCTGGCTTCCCGGCAGACCACTCGGTTGGACATCTTGGTGCCTGTGCCGCCTATGGTGCACGAGGATGAATGAGGAGGAGGCGGCGGCGGCGGCGGCGGCGGCGGCTCCGCGAGGGGACGAGACGCCGCGGGCCCAGCCCAGGAGGAGGCGGCCGCGGGGAGGGGACCGGCCCGGCCCAGGAGGAGGAGGAGAAGGAGGAAGAGGAGGAGATGGCAGCCGGGGCTGGCGGCGGTAACAATCACCACAAACTCCGCCGGCCGCCGGAAGATGGGGCCCACGGCGGACTCGCCCGAGCCTCGCGGCAGCCGCGGAATCGCCGCCGCTGCCCTGACAGGGCTGCTTCCGCGAGCCGCCCCCGGCCCCGCCGCGCGCGGCCTGCCGAGCCTCCCGCTGACCCCACCCCCGTGACTCCGCGCCCTCCCCCACCCGCCCCGCCCCCACCGCCAGGCCTCCCTCCTGCCGCGCGCCCGCCGGCCCCGCCCCGCGCCTCCGCCCGCCGTGCGGCGCGCTCGACCGCGGAAGCGGGCCAGGCTCCAAGCCATCCGGGGTCGGGCGGCCTCAGGCCAGGTGGCGGCGGTCGGTGCTCGCCCCTCCCCCTCCCCCGTACAGCCCGGGGCCGGGCCCTGAACCTGGGAAGCCCAGGCGTCCTTACTCTCCGCGCTACCGGGTCCGGCCCACTGAGCATGCCCAGCGCCGCGGCCGGGCCCGCCGAGGAGGCTCAGCGTGCACGCTCCGCTCTCCGGGGTTTAGCACCAGCAGAGGCTGGGGGCAGGGCGCGGGGCGCAGGACGCAGCCGCGAGGCGGGGAAAGCCCCTTCCCTCCCCACCCCCCCACCCCCGAGTCGCCTGACTTGTCCCCGCGCGCCGCCGGCTCGGCACACGCACACACGCACACACGCGGTTGCTGCCCGCCAAAGTCCGGCCGGGGTTCCCCCCTGCCACTGCGTCCTTGGTGGATTCCCATCCTCGGGGAGTCACCCAGGAATGCAAGTCTGGGGCCGCGCCGAGAAGTTTCATTTGTTGAGACCGGAGTGCGGCGAAGCGGACCCGGGGGGGAGTAGGGGAGCTGTAAAAATGCAGCCTTCGCTTCCCAGGCTCGTCCCTGCCACCTAATAGTACCTTTGGCAGAGTTATATGTACTAATTGTATCTTAGCTGTAACTGCAGTGTGGCAAAGATCGTCTCAGTTATTTCCTACTGGGTGAAATGGGGCGGGGGGGGGGGGATGACACTCGGGTAAGGTACATTGCAAATGTCACCTCTTCACTTATTAAATTCCAGTATTCCACGTGTGTGTCGGCAGCAAAGAATCCCTTTACAAGTTGGGTAGAATCACAAAGAAAGCGGGTTTGGCTTTGAAGTGCAGGATTCCCAAACTAGGAAGTGTAACAGTTGCCCATTTCCCAGAAAGTATTTGGGACCGAAATCATACAACGGGTATATCAGTTTCACATGAAACTAGCTTCTCAATACCCAAATACGGTGTTACTTAATGCCCTAAGAAAAGAGTTTTATTTGTTGGGTTTTTTCGCCAGGTTCTCAGGTGTTGTCATGAGGAAAGCTCTGTGATAAATTTCAATGACAAGAAAAATGGTAGATTTCTTCTTTCTCCCAAGAGCTTGTGTTACTTAGCAAACGTAGCAAAGACCACACTAACGAATAAAATACGAGCTCTTGGGCTGAAGAAATGGCTCCAAGGTTAAAACACGTGCAGCTCTTGCAGAGGACCTAAGTTGACTCACAGCGCAGACTTTGGACAGCTCCCAAACATCCCTTAGTCCAGTTCCAGGGGACTTTTGACGCCCTCTTCTGGCCGCCAAAGGCACCTACAATTACGTGCACATACCCCCCCAACACAAATACATAATTAAATCTGTTTTTAAAGATCTCTAGAATGCTTCACTTTGTAGCCTTGACTGGCCTGGATAGAACACCCAGTGTAAACATGGCTGTCCTCTCTCTGCCTTTGGAGGGAGAGATAGGCAGCCAGATGCCACAACTGTTTTGGGACAGGATCTCCTATATACCCCATACACGTTTTGTTTTCTATTTTTGTTTTTTCGAGACAGGGTTTCTCTGTGTAGCTTTGGAGCCTTGTCCTAGAACTCACTTTGTAGACCAGGCTGGCCTCAAACTCACAGAGATCGACCTGCGTCTGCCTCCTGAGTGCTGGGATTAAAAGCATGAGCCACCACCGCCTGGCATAATTAGATTCTTTAATCCCAGCACTCTGGGAGAAGCAGAAGGATCTGAGTTCCAGGACAGCCAAAGCTATGTAGAGCCCTTACCTCAAAAAGGAAACAATAAATTGTTAATGTAGCTCTAGTTGGCCTTGAACTCTTGAAGATCCACCTGCCTCTGCCTCCCAGTGTTGGGATTAAAAGTACGCACCACAGTGCGTGGCCATTAAGGGGAATTGCAGAAGGCATCTGATTAACATTACCTGATTAACATCACCTTTGCACAGGCTCTTAACCTAAAGACAAGATTAATATGCTCCCAGTGCAGGGTTTCTCAACTTTAATACCACTCTTAGTTTGAACTGGGTGACTAAGAGGGAGAGATGGGCACATGGACTGTCCTGAGCCTTCTGAGATTCGTAATATCCAGGGCTCTACCCTGACAGCAGAATCCCACCTCACTCATTGCCCATACATAACCGAAGGGGGAAACTTGCCTCCCATTTGAGAACAAGAGTTCTAGTAATTGTGCCCCCTAGCTTTCATCACACTACTTTATCTCAATTTCTTCATGGGGGACAATAGGAATACACGCAAAATACAAAAATACTACGTATTTCTTTTTAATTTTATATGTATAAATGTTTTGCCTGAATGTATGTAAGTGCATCTTGTGTGTGCCTTGTCAGAAGAGGGGGTCAGATCCCTGAAACTAAGTTAGACCATTGTGAGCCACTGTGTGGGTGCCAGGAATCCAATGTGGGTCCTCTGAAAGATAAATACCCTAAGACGTCACCTCTTCAGCCCCTATTGTTTGGCAGAGATAAAACAAGACTAAGGAGCTGGAGTACTGTTGCTTAGCTATGCGAACACTGGTGGGACTGCGCTGCAGGCCCATGTGAGCACTTACCAGCAGGGTTGGCTTAAGCAGGCTTCCCTGCAAAGTGGAAAAGAGCTCCTCTACAGAGTTCAATTCCAGAGGTCATTTAAGTAAAATATTGCCAATGTGGTGGCTACTATATGACTACTACAAAGTATCACATTCAAAACTACAAACAGTTCATGGAAACAAACATAAAAACTATGAATTAATGGTGTTTTAATAGTTTATTTTGAAGGTCTTTTAAAAACAAAGTAAAAGACCATCTGAGAAAAAAATTGCACAGATGATACTCATTAAATAAGTATGGTGATTAAATCAGACAGAGGATATGTTCTCTTCTGCAACTCCAGAAGTGAGTTCTGTGGTCCGGAAGGTTCCAGAGTGGGGAGGGGAATCATGGCAATTAAAGCTGCCTCGTAATCATGTAAATCTACAGTAGCAACCAAATGTTTCTTTTCTTCCCAAGTAATCAATTTCGGTCTTCAAACTGTGCCTTATTTTTTAAAAGATAAGATGCTAGAAACTCAATGGGATTTGGCGGTCTGTAAGGGAAAAGAAATGCAAAGGTTAGATATTCTGCACATACGTTAATTTATTTGTTTGTTTGTTTTGGTTTTTCGAGGTGAGGGTTCTCTGTAGCTTTGGAGCCTGTCCCAGAACTCACTCTGTAGACTAGGCTGGCCTCGAACTCAGATCTGCCTGTCTCTGCCTCCTGAGTGCTAGGATTAAAGGTGTGCACCACCACCGTCCAGCTACCATTTTTTTTAATGGATGTTTCATTTCCAGTTAAAGGTTATCTGTAACAAATATGGTGAGACAGGCAAACTAAGAAGCCAATATTAAAAGTTTAAAAGGACTTAAATTGTTTTATAGCTAAAACCAGTACAAACTCAATTCTAAAACACATGGGGTCTTGTTTAATCTTTATTTATTATTATTGCATGTATGCATGGTGGGAACAGATGTCTCACCCATGTGGAGGTCAAAAGACAACTCGGGAGCCGGTGTTCCCAGCACCCTCATATGAGTTCTGGATACTGAAATCAGGTAACTGGTGGTTAGGTTTGCTCTGCTCAGCAAATTCCTTTACCTACTGAGTCCAAAAACACAACCCAGGGGAATGAAATGCTGCTTGCCTCGGGGAGATTTCTAGGATACAAGCAGTATTCAGCTTCATGAACTTTGTGTACATAGCATAGGTGTTTAGTTTCAAGAAAGCCTAGCACAATGGGGACAGAGGCTAGCCTAGTCTACATATCCAGTTCCAGGTCAGTCAAAGCTACACAGTGAGAACCTTTTTAAAAACAAAAGCAAACCGGGCAGTGGTGGTGCATGCTTTTAATCCTAGAGGCAGATCTCTCGGAGTTCAAAGCCAGCCTGGTCTACAAAGTGAGTTCCAGGACAGGGTGCAAAGTTACACAGAGAAACTGTGCCTCAAAAAAACCAAAACAAACTCAAGCTGTATGCCTACAATATGTGTGGTTTCTGAAGTATTATCCTTCAGCAAAAAAAAAAAAAAAAAACAATAAGGGACATACCATTAGCAACATTAGCACCCAGATGAACTCACAGATGACTGAAGGTCCAATGATTAACATTCATTTAGACAACCTGCTTCTTTTTAAAGAGACACTTCAATTTTCCTCCAAATCTTGTATTACATATATTTTGTGGGAAGCATGACACTTGTGTGAAAGACAGCAAGTCTCCCTGTTATGTGGGTCCTGGGGAATCAAACTCAGGGCATCAGCCTTGGTGGCAAGCCTCTTTATTCACTATCTTGACAGCCCAAATTTTTTAAATTAATATTTATGATGCTAAACAACCAATTCACACATGAGAAAACCACTTATAAATTTAAATAACTCCACATTTGCCATAGATCCTACTCCAAAAGGCAGGGTGCGGGAGAAAAAGGAAGGCAAGCAAGAGAGCATGCGCAAAACTGAGTTACCATAATTAGTCTAGGACAGCCAGGACTGTTGCACAGAGAAACCCTGTCTCCAAAAACAAAAACAGAAACAAAAAACTTTCCCTGTACTAGGGGAATGTGTAGGACGTGCCCTTTTTTATGTGTGGGGAAGGAAATCAGCCAGGTGGTGGAGCACACGTTTAATCCCAGCACTGAGGAGGCAGAGTCAGATGGATCTCTGAGTTCAAAGCCAGCCTGGTCTAACCCTATTTTTAAAAAATTGATTTATTTATGTAAATATAATATATGCATATGTATGATCGGTCTGCCTGCATGCATGCCTGCAGGAGGAGGAGGGCATCAGATACCACTGTAGATGGTAGTGCAATGCCATGTGGGTGCTGAGAATAGAACTCAGGACCTCTGGAAGGGCGGCTGGTGCTCTTAACTGCTGAGCCATCTCTCCAGGTTTTGCCTTTTTGTTTGGCTTTTGGGACAGAGTAGATCCTGGCTGTCTTGGAACTCACTCTGTAAACCAGGCTGGTCTCAAACTAGGAGATCCTCCTGCCTCAGCCTCCCCAGTGAATCACCCCATGCCTAGATTGCCCACACTAGAAAGATATGAGGAACTCTTTAAGTTTCAGGACAGTTAGGGCTATGTAAAGAGACCCTGTCTCAAAAAATAAAACAAATAATTTCCTTTTGCATCCAAGGTAAGCAAGCATTCTACCACTGAGCTACAATCTCAGCTCTAACCCCTTCTATTCTATGTCTTGAGAAAGTTACATAAACCAGTCCACCAGGAACTAACAGTTCTCTTGCCTCAGCCACCCAACTGCTTACACCAACACACCTTACCAGCAAAATCTTCTGAGCTGCCTACAGACCCACTTTCACCAAATAATTAGGTTAACCTAATGACTGATTTTACAAAAACTCTTTGCCTAAGAATTCTATTTAAAAGCATATTATTAGTTAAAAATCGTCCTAGTTTTTTCTTTTAGCATTTAATAGTAGTATTTAGAATTTTAATCAGGCACAGTTGTGCACACCTATAATCCTAGCAATCAGGCAGAGGTCAGGGCAGAGGTCACGGCGGAGGTGGATGATCAGTTCAAGGTCATCAAACTTACAAAGGA